TATATATATACACACTTTGCCAAGTAATTTAGGAAAATGGAACTACCCACTTAAATCTGGCCCCTTCTCCCGCTATACTTACCTTTTGGCAAACAGTCCTTTCCCTCCGCCAGTATGGGTGTACTATCTATACCCCGTACTGCTGTCTCCATTTTGAATTTCGCTTGCAAATGGCGAGCACTCATTGGTCAGCGTGGTCAGGTGACAACACTGACCAATGAGAAGCCCTATTTAGCACAGTTCAATGCATTTTTTTTTCGGGACAAGTAGACTGGGCCTTTGGGCAAGTATTTTTTATTTTCACACCCCTAAAAGAACTGCATAAAAAAATTGTCACCACTATATAAATACCAATAATAAATGTAAAAAAAAAATAATATTGGTTACACAGCTAATCCCGTTTTTTTGTATCAGGAGCGGCTCATGTCCCAGCTGAACCCCTCCTACCACCATGCTGCCTCACCTTCCTCTGCGTGGGCCCAGCTAAAATTCTCCATGGAGAACAATGTGATATAAGCATACATTCAAACACACACTATATAATTATATTAGTTACACACACAACCCCCCAACATTCCCCCAATGTGTGTTGAAATAAAGCAATATTTCTAAACAGGAGATCTCAGGAGAAGAGTGCCCAGGAGAAAAACAAAGAATGAAGGGGTGAATCAGTCCACCTATCACTGCACAGAGCGATTCCTCAATTCTTATACTGGTTTCCTCTCCCCATTGTTGTACAATTTCTGTCAACAGCAATGTGAAAATGAAGCCTCAGTGCAAGCTGCTTCTGTACACATAGCTGTCGGGTGTGTAGACTATTACCATTCAAATCAAGCCACGGCTGTCAGACTAGAGATCAGAGGTCTGCAAAATAGAAATGTTTCTCTGACCACCACAATCAGCCCAATTAAAGAAAAGCTCCACCTCATCAGTCAACTACACAGCTGAAATACATATATATATATATATTTGCAATTCTGTTCAACCATCCTTGAGATTCACACAAACC